CGGTTACCGCTCACTGGCTGAGCGAGGTGCGGGGGCAACACTGAGGGTTGCGATCTGTTGCCGGACACGGAAAAAGACAAAAAAAATATATATATATATATTTATGCTTTGGTTCCACCCTTAGGTCAGAACTTGGGGTGGAATCAGAGAAAAGGAAAAAAATAAATAAATAAAAATAAAAAAAAAATAAACACAATATCTCTACTTGGATATCTGAGAGGCATCTAAAAACATCTAAAACTGAATTCATTATCTTATCCCCAAAACCTGGTCCGTCCACAGTGTTACCTTATTTCAACTGAATGAATGGCAATTCCACCTTTCCAGATGCTCAAACCAAATCCTTGCTTTCTCTCTCTAACGCTCCAAGTTCCTCTCTTCGTTCAGGTTTCTGATCAACTCAAATATCTGGAGAAACCTCTTACTACACTTCTAAAACACCCTCCCACCTCCCAAGATAACTCTTTATCCTCTTAGCCTTCCTATTTTTTAAAAAATAGCAAGTCTCTGTCTCTAAAAGTAGACTATATATGTCTTTAATTGGTCATTATCTCCCCCACCAGCATATGAGCTGAGGGCAGGAACAGTTCCCTACCATATCTGGTTCACTAGGGCCACTCAATAATTATTTGCTCAATGAATTAATAAATTTATAGGTCATATGTAGATATTATAGCTGAACACCAGCCTGTTGAAATGGCTAAGGCAATAGATTTAGAGATGAAGATCCAGGCTGGGGCCTATCCCATGCACAGTTATGCAGCTTTGGACAAGTTATCCTTCTTCTATTCCCCCATCTGTTAAACAGGTTTAAATATATATTTGGTATTATAAGACACAAAAGATTCACTACCTGCAACTTACCAGAAACATATGCTTCAATTTTCTTAATTTCATTTGTTCAGGTACAACATGAAGTTATGTGTTCAGAGATTCTTATATTACCATTGTATTATTATTATATCATTACATTAATAAATTTTTGCCTCTAACGTGTCCCCTTGTGCAAACCTCAAGAGCAGTAAAGTAGAAGCGAATACCAGGGGAAAAAAGTCATCAAAAATTTCCTAATTCTGGGCCGGCCTGGTGCGCCGCTTGGGAGTGTGGTGGCGCTCCCGCTGAGGGTTCGGATCCCACATACAGACCGGCCGCTCACTGGCTGAGCGAGGTGCGGGGGCAACACCGAGGGTTGCGATCCCGTTGCCAGTCCTGGTCTGGTACGGGCGCGACACTGAGGGTTGCGATCGTTGCCGGTCACGAAAAAAGACAAAAAAGGGAAAAAAAAATTTCCTAATTCTATTACGGTGATAGTTGCACAACTCTAAATATACCAAAAAAATCATTGAATTGTACACTTAAAATGGGTGAATTTTATGGTATGTAGGTTATACCTCAATAAAACTGTTTAATAAAACAAAAGAGATTCTCTAATTCCATATATGGGGATACTGTAAAACATCCTCAGAATTTAGGGATTAGGCAAAAGTCACACACCAAAAGCTCACAAAATTTTTAAAAAACCAAGTTCAGTAGATGAGTTCTATCATTAGTTTAAACATGCCTCTCTAAAAAAGAGCTTGTAAAAGAAGCCCAGATACCTGGTCAAGTCCTAAGTGACCAGAACAACTTATCTTCAGAACTAGGTTGGGATGGCTGTGACCTGAGCCGGGTTCCTCCGCCAGAGAAAGCAAATTATCGGACCGGTCCTCCTGTCATGTCAGGCTCACCAAGCAAAGGCCTAATCCCATTTCTTCTCCAGGGTGGACGCCTACGGGGAGGGAGTGTTCGCCTTGATGGTCAACTGGCTTCTAGGTTACGGAAGGCCCGCGTCCGTTCTCCATCCCCTGGTTTGCTGCAGGGGAGCAGGCACAACCTAGACTCGCCAAGCTGCCGGCCCTCCCTAAGCCTGGAAAACCTCCAGGGGGCCCAGACACCGAGGGAGCCACGCGCGCTCCAGCTGCGACACCCCTTCCAGTTCAGTGGGGGCGCAGCGGGCTGATGCTTCAACCTTGGCTGAACATCAGGCTCACCTGAGGAGATTTTATTTTATTTTTGCCGGCCGGCCCACATAGGGATCCGAACCCTTGACCTTGGTGTTGTCAGCACCACGCGCTCTCAAATGAGCTAAGAGGCCAGCTCACCTGAGGGGATTTTAAAAGCACAACTGTGGGCGCTATCCCAGATTCTCCGAGTCAGAATGGGGATGTGAGAAAGTCGGAAGCCGCCCCACAGTCCCCGGTCCAATATCAGCTGTCCAGTCCGGCGCCCACACCACGCCCCCACCCAGAACGCTCCGGGGAAAGCGGGCGCCCTCCACCCATAGCAACGCGTCCTCAGAGCCGGGGCGGGTAGCGAAGACGCGCTTCCCGCGACGGCGAAACTGTCTTCCCGCGAGACCGCCCGACCCGGTCCCGCCCTCCTTCTCCGCTCACTGATTGGCTGGAACCAAGGCTCCGGAGTCTGTTGCAGCTCACTCTTCAGCGGGCATTCCGTCTGGACCGGTTCCTTCCACCAGCCAATCATTTCCGCCAGCCAGTCATCACGGATTGTCTTGTCTTTCCTTCTGCAGCCCCTTGACCCCTCCACTCTTTGGTAGTTAAGGGACCCAAGACCTTCAGGGCCGCGCAAGCGCCTCCTCGCCGGGGGCGGGAGAGGGGAACGGCGCAGGCGCAGTAGCGTATTCCCCTTTGGCAGTTCCTAAGCACGTGGGTTGGGCTGTAGCGCGCTGCTGCGGAGGGAGTGGAACCTCAATTTTGGTAGTCTTCATCTGGAGCAGCGGACTAATTGGGGCCATGGCGCCGGCGGAAATCCTGAACGGGAAGGTGGTCTCCACGTAAGCACCTGTCATTGCTGTTATGGTGTGTTGGGTTGCAGGCAAGAGCTCTGAGCAGGGTGCTCAGGTCCCACGGACCCGTATTTTTTGCGGGAGGGACACTTGTAGCGGAAGTCAGGCTGACTGAGCGAGTAGGGAGGACATGGTCCTAGCCAGGAACACCTGAAGATCGGTCCACTGCAGCAGAAGAAAGAGACCCCGGACACAATCTGCGTTTGCAGGTGTGCTGCCTGGTGGTTGTGGCCTATGGCTCTTGTGCTTCTGCGACAATTCCCGTCCTGACTCTGCTCCCGAAAGTGCAGTTGCTGGCGGTATTCTGCCAGGAGAAAGGGTATTTGGGGCTGTTTGAACCACCATAGTCAGAACTCAGAAATTGAGTTGTACTCCTCTTCTCATACAATGGGGAGATGACAAGACTTGACAGGATTACAAGGCTGATTAGGGACAGAGAATCTCCTTCCAGCTCATAGCTTTTCCCACTACTCTTGAGTCTTTTTCCCTTCTAAGTAATAGACTTTATTTTTACAGCAGTTTTAGGCTTACAGAGAAATTGAGCGGATATTACAGGTAGTTCCCATAAACACCACTCATCCACCCACAGTTTCTCCTATTTTTAACATGTTACATTAGTTTGGTACACTTGTTACAATTTTGACCCAACATTGATGTATTATTATTAACTCAGTTTTACATTAGGGTTCCCCCTTTGTATTGTACAGATCTATAGGTTTTGCCAAATATATAATGTCATGTATTCATCATCACAGTATCATACAGAATAGTTTAGTTGCCCTAAAAATCCTCTGTGCTGCACCTATTCATGCCTTCTTCCCTCTAAATCCCTGGCAACCACTAATTTTTTTTTTTTTTCCACCAAAATCTCAAACATGGTATCATTTCTTTGTGTTGGGAACATTGAAAATCCTCTCTTCTGGGCCGGCCCGGTGGCGCGCACTGCTACAGTGCGCCGCTTGGGAAGTGTGGCGGCGCTCCCGCCGGTTCCCGCTCACTGTCTGAGCGAGGTGTGGGAGCAACACCGAGGGTTGCGATCCCGTTGCTAGTCCCGGTCCGGTACGGGCACGACACTAAGGGTTGCGATCCATTGCCGGACACGAAAAAAGACAAAAAGGAAAAAAAAAAAAAAAAAAAAAGAAAATCCTCTCTTTTCGGTAACTGAAAGTATAGAATAAGTTGTTAATTATAGTCACCCTACAGTGCTGTAGAATACTAGATATTATTCCTCCTATCTAGCTGTTCTTTTGTATCCGTTAACCAACCTCTCATTATCCCCTCTCCCCCTTACCCTTTCCAGACTCTGGTAACTGGTATAAGATCAGAGTCTTAACATTTGCTAAGTGGAATTTGGGAAACTTTTCCTTTCTTTTCAATGTCATTCTCCTCTCTAACACCATCTCTCTGTCCTGGCCCTGGAGTTACATATCTTCTAGTTTGGCTCCTGAGTCCTGACAGTTTTCTGCATTCCATTTGACCTTTGCCTATTCTACCTCTGCAGGAAACCTGAATGCTTTAAATAGTGGATATGGTTGCCAAGTTTACTCCCAGGAAATAACACCAGCTGCCTTTTGTCTGGGAGGTGATTTAGGGTAGAAAGAAGGCAGATTGTTCTGTGTGAACTTAACTGAGGTTGCTCTTGGGACCTTTGACATAATCAGTTATTTTGTAACTGCTGTGGCTGGCAACAGTAATTGTCCTGTGAACCCTGACTTTGTCAGTATAATGGAGATTTTTGAGTGAATTATAAAGTCATTGGTGCTTGAAACCTACCCGGAGCAAAATGATTGTTTCCTGGAAGGTAGAGGTGGTGGACTAAGATGGTGAGATGTAAATTAGATGGTGATGAATTATCCACATTGGTGAGGAGGAACCCCAGATTTTCAGCCACAACAACCAATTTCCTCAAATGTAAAATAAAGATAATATCTAGGCCATTGGGTGGTTAGGAGAATTAAATGAGTTCCTAACAGAGAAGAATGAATTGCTGCTGACACATAAATGTTTAATACATGTTAGCTATATTAATGATCAATAATTAGTTAATGTATACACGAATGATTGATTCATTATCTTTTTGACCATGGTAGGTGCCTTGATATCCATTTTAATATTTATCAACATTACCTGCATATTAAAATCACTTAGAAACCTTTTCTTTTTGTTTTTTATTTTTATTTGAATGTGAATACATACCAAAAAAGTGTACCTATCATAAGTATACCTCTCAATGAATTTTTCACAACTGAACATATCTGTGTATCCAGCACCCAGATTAAGATATGGTATTATTGGCACTGCAGAAGTTGCTTTCTCACCTCTATATTGTAACCAACCCCCCAGAAAGGTAATCACTATCTTGACTTTTATTTTTTTGGTGGCTTGACAGTACTGGGATCCGAACCTGTGACCTTGATGTTAGTTAATAAGGCTGTGCTTTAACCAGCCAGTGCTCTATCCTGACTTCTAACATACCAGCCATCTATCCTGACTTCTAACACTATAGCTTAGTTTTGCTTTTAATAACTTTACATAAATGGCATCATACAGTATAAGTCTTTTGTGTCTGGTTTCTTCCAATCAACATTGTGTTTCTGAGTTTATTCCATGTTGAATATTTTCTCTCATTGCTGTATTGTATTCTACTGTATGCCACTATTTACCTATCTATGAACATTTGGATTTCCAGTTTTTGGTGGTTATGAATAATGATGCTGTGAGCACTCTTTTACATGTCTTTTGGTGGAATGTATACTATACACATTTCTGTCAGGTGTATGCCTAAGAATAGAATTATGGGGTAATAGGACATGCCTATGATCAGTTTTGGTAGACATTGCCGGTCTTTCCAAGGTTGTTTTACCAGTTTACACTCATAGGAAGCTTTTGAAAAATATCAGTGCTTGGTGCCCATACCATACTGATTTAATTGGAATTGTTAGCAATATACCACTGGTCTCAATTTTTTAAAAAGTTTTAAAAAGCTCTTTCCATGAGTCTAGTGCATCTTGAAGTTTGAGACCACTAATCTAAATCTAAAGCCTTAAATCTAAATCCAGTTTTCATCATTGAAGATTGGGATGTCAGTGATTTGGCCATAGATATTGAAAGCATTTTCTGGAAAAGACTTCCAGGTATTTGAAGGATCTCTCTCTAGCCTATTCAGAGTTAACTTAGCTAACATTTTACATTGTCCTTCCTGTTGGTGAACAGCCAGTTCCAACCAATACAGATCATAAAGGAGTATTAAGACCAAGGCCCCTTTGTGCTTACAGAATATTTTTCTTCCGTGTGCCCATAAGGTGGCTCTTTCTTGAGACTTTGACCTTCCTAGAGAGCTTAACTCCAGGAGCTTGTATACAGTGCTTACAATTCTTCAGAGGGTGGGAGCCCTGGAAGGGGAGACGGCCTGCCTGGCTCATGGGGTAGCACACTCCTACCAGCTCCTGTGTGCTGAGGCTGCGGCAGGCAGCTGACCCTCGGTCCATGGCCCTGGGGGAATCCTGAGCAAGAAGGTGATTCTTACAGCTTGAACAGGTTGGGCTACAGGTGGAGGCTCTGGGCAGGGTGTTCCCATCTTTCCTCTTTTCTAGACCAAGGACACACTAGAGAGGAAAGGTAAGTGAGTTTTTTTCATTGTAGCCAGGGATCCTGGAGTCTGGAAAAAGGATTCCTCATTCCCTAAGTTTACAGATCACTTCCTTGGTTGCCAACAACTGTTGGGCCTCTCTGGGGACAAATTTGCAAGCCTTCAAGTGCCTTGAACAGTTTCTTCCTCAAAATTAATTTTGTTCCCAAAATGTAGTGTTTGAGTTATAAAATCTCTTCCTTGTAGGAAGGAAGGATGCAGCAGGTTGTGAGTTCCACAGTCAGAATTTCTCCAAAATCCAGTCCACTCCCTACATCCCATCCTGCAGATGAGGAAATAGTTGAGGCTAGAAAAGTGATATGACTCTGCCATGGGTTACTAGGCTGATTAATGGCAGAGGCTCAACTAGAACCAAGTTCTTCACCCCGTACATGGTGTTTTTCACTCTATCAGGCATTCACTACCTGCTTAAAGGGATTTCATAAAATCATCTTTTTCTTTATAGCAGTTTTCTTCTCACTGCCACATTTCTCACTGTGCCAAGAATGCCATCCCTGACTTTTGTCTACCTTTACTTTTATTCTTCTTTTATTTCTTCCTCAGAGCCAGGACACTGTCAAAATTCAGCATTCCAGACTCCTTCTCTGTGTGCTTTCTCTCTATGCTGTGGGAAATCCAGATACTTACCTGATAGATCTAGTTGCCCAATTATCTCCCTCTGGAAGTAACACTTCCATTTCTCCCTTACAGGGAGTTCCAAGATTGCACCCTGAATTTGACAACTGGAAGGAGGTCTGAGGGTTAGAGACAAGTGTGTATCCTTTCTGGATATTTTTTCACTTATTCAACAAATATCTGTGTGCCTCTTCTATGCCAAGCAATCTTCAAAGCCCTGAGACTCTGACAGTGAACAAAATAGCCCAGATCCCTACTCTTCTGGAGTTTGCATACTGATGGTAGAGATAGATGGTAAAATAGGTGAAACAGCATGTGAAGTGGTGAGAAGCACCAAAGAGAAAACCAGAGCAGGGGAGAGGGACAGGAATGAGGTGTGGGGGTTGCGATTTTTAATATGGGAGTTAAGGTAATATTCTTTGTAAAAGTGACCTATGGGCAAAGATTTGAAGGTGGTGGGTCCATGAGCCTGCCAATGTTATGGGGAGGAGAGTCCCTGACCAAAAACACAGCCTGTGTCATGGAACTTTGACCTCACCAGTTAGTAAATAACTGCCTTGGGATCAGGTGGGATTTCCCAGGAGATGGGACCTTTCTCCTGGTCTTAAAGAGGCTGCCCAGCCAGGCAATTGGGCATGTTGCAGCTAGAGTGTGGCCAAGTCCAGAGCTGGTAGCCAACTACAGTGGTCATGGCTTTAGCAAAGCTCCTGATCGGTGGGGTGGC